CTTAAACCTCAATAATACCAAGGTGACAACCATGGCCCTGGTAGATCTTCCACTGGCCTGAGACATCCTAGATAGATAAACACGTTGACCAGGAATTCACTTCTCACTGCCTCCTCAGAGCACGGAAGGCAAACTCAGATCCAATGTCCTGCAGCTTGCTGGCCTTGGGCCTTAGAAACACTAGCCCCAATGACTTGAGTGTTCTGCTTCTATTACCAAAGGAAGGCTAGCAGCCCCCAAGAAATTAGCACAAAACATCAAAAGTCATAACAGCAAAAGATAGATCTTTCCCATCAAGCAGCTTAGAATATGACCACTCCAAAGAGTCCTAACTCTGCACTAAGAAGCCCTAAAAAAAATATAACTATAGTAAATGTAAGAGTATCATATATATTTTCTCTCTTCACTGAGGTCAACTGTATTTTGGATAGCTTAGGTGGAACAGTGTGTGTGCAAAAAAAGCTACAGTACAGACAGCCATTACCACATCCTACATTGTCTTAACAAATCAACCTGTATGGAAACACATAGAGGACACAGTGGGTGATGCTGAGTCTTGCCCAACCCTTCACATGTCAGTTGTAGCTCCTGGCAATGATTTTAGTGTTCCAAATAAGTGGAGATCATCACAATTATGTTGTTGTTGCGGTTGCTGCTGTTGCTGCTATTTCCTGCTACACAAAGAAGTGGTTTCACCCTTGGTCTTTTCCAGACTGTAGAAAAACAAGAAGACACTAAAGCAAGCCACTCTGCCGAATGTAGAATTCCTGCCAACTCCAGTGTGCCTGGAACAATGGACTGTAGGAGGCCTAGACGTATGTGAGGTCCAACCTCTGCCTGAGGATTAGTCACAAAGCCACTGGCACTCGGATCCCCAGCACTGCACCACAGCTCCAACCTGGCTGGACTGCACATAATGAAAAAGAAATTGGGAACACACTGAAGCTAAAACCGCAAATGCATTTTAAGTCCTGGTTTAAATTCATTTCAATTAGCAGAGGTCAGGCAGTTTCTATACTCACGCTGAGTTATTCTTACTGATTTAATAACAAAATCAGGCAGACATAATGTTCTACTAAAAAAAATTAAATATTGTGATAGAAGTACATTCTCAGTCTCCATAGAGAACATAGAAATAGCTTCCAAAGAAATTTGCCTTAAAGGATAATTAATGAAGGAAATACCCCAGAATTTCAGTAATGGGAAACAAGTATTTGTGCATTGTATGTCTTATAGGTCAGAAATAACAGATCAGCATGACTTTTCATTCTCTAGCTCAGCCCTGATGTCTTACAGTGAACATCAGTGCAGCCAGAGAAAAATGAGTCACATCTTTTGAGATGCTCCCCCTTTCCCAGGTCCTGTCTAGAAGTGAATCTTTTTTTTCCCTCACCTCACAATATGTCTGCTTTGCCCAGAACACTGTAGCAAAGATGCTCTTCAGAGGGGGACTTACTGAAATGATTGAAGAGTTGAGACTAAGTCAACCTGATTCAAAAGGCAACTCTACCATTGACTACCTGTGTGATACTGGCAAGTTTCTTGCTGTCCTTTGTCCTTCTGTCCCTCCAGGTAAGATGGACAAATAGTAGCACCTACCTCCTAGCACATGGGCCTTTCCATCTGAGCAAAACAGTCCTCTATGGTCCTTACCTAACCGACTCCTCACCCATCAAGGTCTCTGGTCATGATCACAGCCCTGAAAGACACCTTTCCCAACCACCACACTGGAGACTATCCCCCCCCAGATAACAGGCTTCACTCTTTTTCATAACTCTTCTCTATTTTCATAACTATCTCTCACAATAGAAGTCACAACAGAAAGAGAAATATGGAATTATAGCTATTGGTTATAATTCCATAGTTTCAAGTAGAAATTTAACAAAAACTTACATAATGAGTACCACACATAATGGCACACACCTCCAGAGACTAAAGCAGGAAGATGACAAGCTTGAGGCTAGCTTAGGCTTTACAGGAAATACATAATACATACATACATACATACATACATACATACATACATACATACATACATTCAAAATCAATCTGGAATACTAAATATACCCTGTCTCAAACACACAAACAAATGATTACCCTAACTAATGAGTAAGTGAATTGCCGAATGAATGAGGTAGCCCCAAGAATTCAATCAAGTCAGCACAGAGTATCTGCACAGTGTCGATCACTCAGCTACTTCTGGAAATGTTTGAACTAAGAATGGTTAATGGTCATAGTTCTTCCAATTTTTAACTTTTAGACTCTGAAATGCCCCTTCTCGCTAACATCATTAATGACTATCCCCTGTACTTTATTCGGCACTGTGCTGGTAAATAGGCTTTAGGAGTGGCACTTGGGAATGGAATGAGTCCTGCTAGTCCTCACCATATGTTGGCTGGAGGTTCCACTCAGCCGACTTCACAGATCAGCCCGCACCATCAATGTATGCAAGCTAAGGGAGCAACAGAGTCTACTTGCAAGATAGGAGCCGCAGTCTCAGGTAATCGAAAAGGACCATTTGTCAGTTTCTAACATGTAAAAATATTCTAACCATAACCAATGTCAAGTTAGCAATGACTCAACAGCAGGCTCCCCAAATTCCTAAAACTTTAACAAAGGGCTCACAAACTACTACAATCTCCTCTTGGGAAAGGAGGTTCTTTTAAACCTCTAAACTGTTTTTTGCAGACATGCTTTTTACAGACTGTCTGTTATTGATGAGCCAAGATCAGGGCAGTCCACTGACTAGTTTGATGATCAACAAAACTAGCTGCATGTGCAGGCTGCACTTTCTGGAACACATCCTGACATCAAGACTCTAACCGTGCTCTGCTTCCACAACAGAACTCTGTGAGAACCAATCAACTAAGAAAAATACGGACTGTGTCTCTACTCTTCTCTGTGGAGCTGAGCGCACAGATGAAGCGAAGCAGCGTCTATTAAGTGCTACTTAGAAGAAGAATCTAAAGCAGGAGGGCAGAGGTTCCTCCCTGACCACAGGAACCCATGGGGACAGAGGGATGCTACAGCTGGTGCTTTTTCTGGCATCCCACTCTGGCTGGCTACATATATAACACCAGACCTTGGCCTTAAAATAAGGCAGCAACTTTTTCTAACTATAGAGATGTTCCGCTGCCACAATTTTTGAAATAACACAAATAATGTTTCAAAGCCTAACCAGTCTTTATGCAAATCATGATTTACATTGCTCTTCCGTAAACTGGTTTGAAGGCTCACAAGAAGAAACAAGGGTTTGCTTCTGCTCTGTTGTATTAGCTGCACGCTGCTTCATGGCAGGTTAATCCCAAATTAATCAACTCAAAAAACATATGTTCATTACCTCATAGGTATTTTCCCAGTGGAAGAGACCAGGCACAACTTAGCTGGGTCCTTTGCTTCACGATGTCTCACAAGGCTGTAATTAAGGCATCAGCCTAGCACCTGTCTCATCTGCAGGCAACTATGGCTGTTGGCAGTTCTCATTGTTAATGACCATGCTGAGTACCTCCCCTCCTCACTGGATGTTGGCTCAAAGCTGCCCTTATATCCTTACCATCTGGCCCTTCTACACAGCAGCTTGCTTGATCAAAATACAATGAAGACAAGAGGATCTGTTTTCAAGGTAGAAGCTTCAGTCTTGTGTAGCCCTATCATGGAAGTGGCATCAACAGCTGTTGTCTCTGGCATACTACATCTTTTAGATACAAGTCTCTAGAATGAGTCATTTCTCAAAAGGAGGTAGTCACACAAGTATGTGAATTCCAGGTGGTAGGGACCACTGGAGATCATTTTGGAAATCTGCCCAACACATTTACACTCTCAGAATTCAGATGGAAAGAGCAGACCCAACAAAACACTTCTAAGTATTTTAACATAAAACAAGCCATGTGGTTTCCAAAATATGTGGCTAAGATCTCATGAAAATAAAATAAGGGAGATTCAGAGTAGAGAGCTTTAGGTTTGAAAATACCAAAGTCCACTAAAATCTCCCAAGCAAATACAAACAATATATAGACACCTTATGGGAGCATTGGTATCTTGACAGATTTCTTGACAACACACAAGGTAGCTGCCCATCTAAACAGGTGTTCAATTCTAAGAGATATAGTCTACTCTGAAATCTTTAGTGCTGCCAATGTTTTGAAGACATATCTAACACTGCCATACGAATTGCAATTTGCCATGTGGTATGTGTCTCCCTTTAGCAGTTTTGCCTACAAGATGCTCTTAGAGCCTTCTTTACTACAGTAGCAAGAAAACTGTGGCAACAATTTCAAACCCTGGCTGACACACACATTTTTTTCCTAAGCTTTAACTAACCATAAATTCTCAGATATCTGAGCATCTCAGCATTCAGTGGTGGTGGCCAGCCAGAGAAACTGCCTGCGGAAGACTTCAAATGATTTAAATACACTACGGATGAAACATATTCAGAACTCCTGGAACAGAATGTTCTAGACAAATGTAAATGTAGACGAGGATTACCTTAAACCCAAATGTTTGGCACTGGCCTATACCTTATTCTCAAAAAAAAGAAAGAAAGAAAGAAAGAAAGAAAGAAAGAAAGAAAGGAAGGAAGGAAGGAAGGAAGAAAGGAAGAAAAACATGTGTTTGGCTTTCCACAAACTCTGTCTCTAATTCAGTTATCAAAACGCTTGCAGTCACTGTGCTAATCATCTATGTATTTTGTTTCTTTAGAGATATATTTGACACCAAACTTAAACAGACCTGTACCTAAAAGCCCCCCAAAACCATAGCCACCGGTGGAAAAGTGACCATAAAGCACCTTAGAGTTACCATGTGCTGCACAGGCTTGAATAATAATCGAACACGGGTGCCATGAGCTCAGAAAGAATGCTCACACAAAGTTCTACTTTAACAGCCACAAGCAGAGAAGATCAGTGAGCTGAGAGCAGGGGAAACGAGGTTGAGACTATAGACATTTTCCAACCTGTGAAACAGCGTAAGAACGTATTCAGTATCTAAAGCAAGTTTCTTACCTCTCTCAGGTGGATGTTTTCCTTCTCCTTCTGATCTAAAATCACTTCCAAGTGGCTGACCTGAGACTCAGCCTCTGCCATCCGCCGCGTGCGCTCATTGTCATCCTCAAGGCTCTTAGATGGCAAGCCCTTACTCTGCAGCATCTCCAGGAGCTTTTTAATAGACTCGTCTCGGGCATTGAGAGTCTGTTTCTGGGTTTCAATTCTCAGCTCCATTTCTTCCAATGTCTTCCGCAGAAGGAACAGCTCCTTGGCCTGTCTGTCATGCTCAGCTTGGAGCCTGCGGAAGTTCTCCTCCGTCAGCTCAATGGTGAAGTGCTCAGCTCCCCGGTTGCCACTCTCTTGCTGCAGGAGGTGATTGAGGTCTCTCTGGGTTCGCAGCTCATCCTGAAGGGCCTGGATCGTCAACTGCAGGTGCTACAGTGAGAAAGACGGAGCAGGGGAGAGGAGACAGGAGAAACAGTTAGTGAAAAGGTCAAATGCTGTGAGCTGCCACCGCCACACCATGAAAATGGAATGTTAATCATGAGGTCCAGGGGCCAGCCGTGAAGTCCTCCACTGTGACTTCAGAAGCATGGGACAGCACATGAAGAGGGGGATTAATTCAGTGATGCTTTCTGAATGTCTTAGGAGAAGAGAAATGTACACACACACGGAAACGGTATATTAGTGTCAACCACAAGGGAATTAAACATCTACGGTGCTTAGTTTAGGAAGGGAAAGGGTTAGAAGGAAACTTTAGTAAAACACACTTTCTTAGGCCCACAACACTCCAGACTCAGTATTCCTTGTTTCCTAAGATGTTCTTTATCCATTATTTTTCATGATAAATGCATATCCATTTAAAAATGAAAATAATAGCATCTACTACGAGCAGACACAAACAAGGACTTTATTTTTTTACAAATAAAGCTGTGAACAGGTTTAGTAAACAGGATTACTGCCTCTGCAAGCAAAAGGGACTAAATGGAGACACAGACAAGCACGTTCAAACACACAAGGTGGGGAGGCTGTGCAGAGTAAAACAAACAAGCAGCAAGAGCAGACAAACCTTGGTTCTTCTGGCGTCCAGTAACTGAACAGCATGGGAAATGAAAAAAAATGAAGCAAAAAATCAACATAAAGAAAAGTCCAGTGCAAGCAAAGGATATTCAACAGAAATAACTTAACACAGAGTACCTCCACAGAAGAAAAAGAAAAGAAAAAAAATCTCATTAAGCCAACACCCATAAGCTACACACAATTCAGAGCATTGATGCTGGATCAACACAAAAAGAAAAACGGAGAGCAAAGGAAAGAAAAAGAAAGAAAGAAAGAAAGCCAATCAAGGCTTAGTTTAATAGCCTTTTGTTTCCCTCTCTTTCTCTCTCTCTCTCTCTCTCTCTCTCTCTCTCTCTCTCTCTCTCTCTCTCTCTTTTTCTGACCTAACAGCAATTTTTTTGATATCTTACCAGAGAGGAAATCACAATACTCTAAACATTGTTTCCAGTCAACCACAGTAGAAAACACCAGAGAAAGTAGTTAACAGTTGCAAAAAAAAGAAATCCTTGAAGGAAGTCAGTTGGTGGATTCATGTCCTCCTTTCCAGACCAACCTCAGGCTGGTCAGAGGCAGAGGCCACAAGCCTGAAGATGGTTTTTTGCCCAGGAACATACCAAGAGGCTTCAAAAATAGCAATTACTCATTCATTCACAGATACATTATCCTGCCTGTAGACCAGACCACAACATTAAGCAGAGGAACCAAGCTGGACGTAAGACAGGGCTGTTGCCCACAGGGACTCACAGTGTTGTAAGGCACAGATAATACCATGTCTTAGTTATATAAGTATTGGAATAGACAACATTTGAAATCTGCCTGAAGTCTTATGGCTGATACCCAGAGGTTGAAATCTTTCTGAATGTGGCCACCACCAAGAAGCTAGCACAAATGTGGTTCACTGCCACACTGTTCACACTTAGGAATGAGAAGGTCCTAGAACACACAGAGGGAGGGCATTCTCCTTCTTAGCTATGTGCCACAGTGCCTCACAGGGCACTGAACGCTCCCTATTGACACAGATTACTGACTACTTTGTGATACAACAGAATCTTGTAAATGTGAGTTTCAGGGCCTTTAGTCACAGGCTGTGTGACCATCAACACAATTTCTATCATGTTTATCAGCACAGTAAAAAAAAACAAAAACAAACAAACAAATCAACAAACAGAAAACCCTGTACCCTTTCGCAACCCACTTTCCATTTTCTTCCCAGGAACAAAGCTCTGAGAGCCAATAATCTTTCTGTCCCTATAAATTTGGCTATGAAAAATATTCCTTATCAGTGAAATCATGAAATAAGTGGTTTCTTTGGTTTCATGTACATTCAGAATGTAATGCGTGCTTTAGCATCAGAATTTCATTCCTTTCTATAACTGAATTTTATTCCATGATAAAATATGCTAACTTTTATTTACCCATTTACCATCTGATTTAGAATATATATTCACAGCAGCATTGTATACTTTGGCCAAAAAGTATAAGTAATCTATATGTCAATCAATTAGTCAGTGCATAAATATGATATATCCAGGTAATGAAATATTATTTAGCCACAAAGTTGGGTAATTTAACTTAAAATTGACTCTGAAAGTATTATGTCCCTACAAAAGAAGCCAATCACAAAAGTCTACAAATGGTGTGATTCTACTTACACTATGTCCAGATAAGCAAATTCATAGATGGAGATAAATTAAGGATTGCCAGGAAATAAAAAGGATGTATCTACTGACCATTATGATGTTTCCTTCTGGTTTGAAAAACAAAATCTCAAGCTAGATAGTGGTGTTAGTTACACAGTTCTGAGAATATATGAAAACTGATACTCTGTACTTACAGAGACAAACTGTATTAATTTTTACCTTAATAAAACTGCCACAGAAAATATGAGTTAAGCCACAGGCTCATGTGATCATTTTCCACCAAGGCTCCATCTCTAAGCCAATCAAAACAGATTGTATTAGAGCATGTAAACCTTCTGCCCTGCTCTTGGAGGCATGCTTTAGCTACTGCCTCCTGGTTACTTAAATATGTTTTATGTTAGCATGGCTTTGTCCTTTGATGGTGGTATGGGCTCTGAGTTGATCTAAGTTAATTTAGAGACAAATGTAATGAATCAGGATGATGAGAATGGAAACTGGATGGATGGTGAGAATTCTTGAGAGCAACCAAGAATAATGTTTGTTTTTACATGATCCATATATAACCCAGAAGGAAGTTCCAAACTAAATCTGTAGACATCCTCTGATCACAGGTGTCACCACTGGCAAGATGACAGTAAGAGAGCTGTTCCTGGGTGGGCAAGCTGCTTATAACCATGTTCCCCTGTTTTCAAATCTACAAAGTAGGGCTCACTCTAATGCTTATTTTATTCCTGGGTGGAATAACAAAAATAGTACATCAGGTGCCAGGTTTAAGGAAAGAAGAGAAGGTCCATTTATCCATTCAGTATGAGTTGCCTTCTATCTCTCAGACTCATAAAATATAAAACAAGAGGAAGAAGAAATAGCTCTCTATAGGGGCAGTTCTGATGCTAAGGTCCTGTTCCTCAATTGGTTCTTGATCTGTCAGTAAAGAAGCCATGGGCCAATTGCTGGGTGGAAGGAATAGGTGGGACTTCCGGGTCCCTGGAGAAAAAGAGATAGATGTGAGAGAGGAGAGGAGTTCACCAGGCTTTAGAGAGAAAAAAGCCAAGCAGCCATGTGAGGTCTCAGGAGGAGCCGCAACCTATGGCTGCTCTTATAGGCTGATGGTCAGGGGTGTTTATCTGGGGCTAGATGTATCTTAGCAACTAAAGTTTAGGGCAGGTGGGAGGGGCAAAGATAAGATTATTGTTAAGGGTACACGTTTTCAAGCATGAGATAGTAGCACCCAGCAATTGTGTCCAAAAGCAAGTTGAAATTGAGCAACCTATGTGTGTGTCTTTTGTCCATGGATTCAAAGGAAGCTGGGTTGGGGCTCGTAGCACAGCCCATTCCCAGAGCTAAGACAGGGTAGCAAAAGCTACACATAACAGTTCATGGTTCTGTAGACAAGCAAAGCCACAGGTGAAACAATATGCCCTGAGTATTGTGACTAAAAGCCATATCTAGGTGGCTAGACACATAGAGAAGCTTTGTGCCAGATGAGAGCTATGTAGAATTCACCACTGAGTGGTGTCTTCAAGGAATGAGAGTCTCTCCCTAACATGAAGCTGCAAAAGGAAAATCCCATGGAAATACCCAGAGCCAAAGAGAAACCAAACCTACTGAGGAATACTTACAGAGAAAATCTGTACAGCACTTAACATCTGCCACACATTGTTCCAACCTCTAGTCAGCCTTCATAACAGCTCAGAAAGGCATCCACTATTGCAATCTCCTCTTAATGGATAAGAATACAGACACAATCAAATAAAACAAGTTGTTCCAGATCCCTCAGCTCAGTAAGGAGCCTTTTGTATGTAGCATGATTTCCAGGGCCCTGTTTGAACCACTATACCACCTGGGCGCTGCAGTGACACAAGTCCTCCTGAACCGTGCCAAAGAATAATGGGGGAGGGTGGTTACAGCAGACAGGTAGATAGTTATAACAGTTACAGTAATCTTCACAATTAAGAATTAGCCATCCTACCATATCTTCTGAAGAATAGCAGGGAGACCATAACTCAAGCAGTGTACCATATCTTCTGAAGAATAGCAGGTAGATCATAATTCAAGGCAGTGTACCGTATAGACCATGACATGTTTCAAGGCAGAGGCCAAGAAGATTCTGTACTTTTCCACCACCTGGCCCCTCTTACCCCCTCCCCTTGTAAAACATGCTATAAAAAAGCATCTCATGCTCAAAAAAAAATTTAAAAAAAGAGTTAGCCATCCTATCTAGGTTATACAAGTGAGATCCCTATCAAAACCATAGTACCTTCTCTAAGAGCTAAAAGTCAGAAAAACAACAGCCAGTTTCCAATTCCTAGTACTCATATTATTCAGTCTATCTGGTTGAAATCTTCCACTCTTCAACCATGATGATTCACACTTTTAAGTCAGTCACTCAAATCTCACTGGCTGAGTAACTACGAGCCTAGAACGCAGCAATCTACAAAACTGTATTGCAAGACCATCTCTTTGGAATCTCCTGGCCATCTCAAGGGTTTCGCTATCCCAAAGTCTTCCCCTGTATTGATCATTAGAGGGAAAAGCCCATCCAGCACCCTCTTTCATCAGGACAAGAGAGCTTCCTGGTTTTCAATTTTGAGTCTGGGTACCAAACTGCTAGCATCTTAGCTAACCTCCTGCAGGTACAAAAGTGCATGTGTTAGACAAGGATGTAAGAATATTTTACTTACCATCCTGATGCTAGACTTATTCTTCAGTTGGTCATGGAAAATCAAAGCTCAAAAGGAAAGCTCCTTTCTCTATGGCCACTAAGAAACTTAGAGAGAAATAGCAGCTCTAACAGTGGAAGTCCAGACTGCTGGCTGCAATCGTTTGCAATAGAGAGAAATAGCAGCTCTAACAGTGGAAGTCCAGACTGCTGGCTGCAATCGTTTGCAATAAGTACAAGTAGACTGTACCATATATACCTTAACGTATGTCCTTTAACTAGTTCGTTTAGCCTTTCTTACTATTTACTTATAATCTTAACTGCCCTGCATATCACTTCAGTCCATAAAAGAGGAGTGTTTTAAGGATTCTTCTTATATCGCACTGTCAATGGCATAGGAGCTAACTAACTTGGTAGGTCCAGTTTGTCCCCAATCTAGGGCACACAAAAGTTTGATGACAGCATCCTAGGACAATGGGAGAAGTCATATCAATGTGTCTTTCTAGAATCATTACATTTTCTGACACATCTTCCCAATACACTATAGCTAAATGAAAGTAAATCCCCCTCCCAGGTATAGTTAGGCTTATTTATAAAAGGAGAAAAAAGAAAAAGAAAAGAGGTGGGAAGAGAATGGAGGGGGGAGGGAGACAGAGAGAGATAAAACTCATAGGCACACAAAAAAGTTCTAGTCCCTCTCTTATAGGAGCAAATGCCAATGAAAATATTGAGCTA